ATTTATACTTATGAGTCTATATTATTTGATTACTAATTCTTAAATCTATTTTTTTTTAATATATTTATAAAGCAATTAGATGAATGCACAGTAAAACCATTTTTTTTACTAATTATAGACGAACTGAAAAAATTTGCTTGTAAATTGTACTTTGACAATGATAATTTAATTCCTGTAGAATATAGAGACCCTAATATTTGCAAAATATGTAACTGTGAAATTTCTCCTAATCTTTTGTAATCAGTAATTTTACTTGACTGCAGGCACTTCTTTCACTAGAAGTGTATTATAAAATATAATTGTTGTTCTTGTAAATATAAAGACTATGAAACACCAAATCGATATATTGAAATGTCAACTCCATATTGTTTTGAAAAAATATTAAACATACCATCTTTTCAAGTACAAGCTGATGAACTACAAGCACAAGCCGATGAACAGATGCAATTCAATGAACAGGTGCAATTCAATAAACTACAAGCACAAGATGATAATAAACAAAAGCAAATTAATGAACAAGTGCAAGTCAATGAACTACAAGCACAAGTGTGTGGGCAAGCACAAAGTGAGCAAGTACAAAGCAGACAAGCACAAAGCAGGCAAGCACAAAACAGGCAAGCACAAAGCAGACAAGCACAAAGTGGGCAAGCACAAAGTAGGCAAACACAAGATTGGCAAGCACAAGATGGGCAAGCACATGGTGGGCAAGCACAAAGCAGGCAAGCATAAGGTGAACAAGCACAAAGCAGGCAAGTGCATAGTGGGCAAGCATAAAGCGAACAAGTGAATGGTGAACAAGCACAAAGTGGGCAAGCACAAGGTAGGCAAGCACAAGGCAGGCAAGTGCATGATGGGCAAGCACAAAGTAGGCAAGCACAAGATGGGCAAGTAAATAACAGGCAAACACAAGGTGGGCAAGCACATGGTGGGCAAGCACAAGTCAATAGACAAACTAATGAACAGGTTAGCATTATTAAAATTTATTATACAGTATTATATAATATTCATATTATAAAATGTATA